GACGAAAAAATTTTACTCGTCATAAAACGATAAATAGTTTGTCAAATTTTTATTCATAAAAATGTAGTTTCGACTGCTTTTTATTTTATAAAATCTGTCTTCTTGCCTCACCAGAGGGCCTTTTAAACAATAGATAGTCTGTTAGCGTTGGTCAATAGTAGTCCAAATTCAATAAGAACGTTTGTTTCTTGAAAATTTGATCACAATTTAAATACTGTATTTACTTTTAATATTACCGATATGTCATCGAAAAGAAAACATGTTGTATTATCATTAAAAGACAAATTAAAGTATTTGTTTCGATTATCCGGATTTTTCCTTATCCGGACTACCTTCATCCCCAATTAGTCCGGATAATCGAGGTTCTACTGTAAATTAAGGGGCCTAAATGCAAATTCTTGCACAGGGCACAGGAAAGGCTAGTTACGGCTCTGATGATAGCACTTAGAAAGGTGTATAGGATTCTGAAGTATCTCAAGATTCCAACTATTATTGAGTTTGGAAATTGTTTGTTTTGTGCTTTGTAATTTTAGATCTTGCATTATTAGCAAACATACATAAATGGATGCTGAGTTAAAAGAAATCAAAATATGAAATAAACTACTACTAAATTGTACAATTTAGTTCTGTTCATTATTAACTTTGTTTTTATAACATAAAAACATTCAACATGTATATATCTATATGCATATACAGTGGAACCTCGGTATACGACCTTAATCTGTTCCAAGTGTTTGGACTTATACCGAATAGGAGGTATACCAAACCAACCTTTCCCATAAGAAGTAATGTAAAAATGATTAATCTGTTCTCATGTAAAAAAATAATAGCTGGCTTTAAACACCTTGCTTTCCTGGCTAGTTCCTGCTTGATTTTTCATGAGATCAGCATGTATCTTTTTAGCTTTCTCGCAAATAATTGCTTCTGATATACTGTCACCAGCACACTGTTTTTCAGTTATCCAAAGTAAAAGCAATTTCTTAACACGATCTAAAATCTTTGATCTCTGTTTAGAAATTGATTTAACCTCTTTTGCAACGTTAACAGATTTAATATTGTCTTTATTTTTTACGATTGTCGATATCATCGTTCTCGGAATACGGTATGCAACAGTTAAATCTCGAACACGCATATCACCTTCATATTAATCAACAATCTTTTTTTCAGTTCCATTGTGATTCTAGTCAATTTTTTAGTTTTCTGTTGCTTTTCATTTGCCTTTTTCGATTCATGATTAATAAAAATAATAAAATTTTACTTACAAATTAAAATCAGAAGAAATTTAACAAAGTTATAAACCGTGGCACTGTGAACATCTAGTGTGGGTGTAGTACACCGATAGTGCTACTTGTTCAAAGATGGCACGTATAATTGAATTAAGTCGTATATCAAACAAAAGTCGTATATCGAGCAAAATTTGTTTCGTCTAAACAAGATGTATTCCGAATTGGACATATTCTAAAGCAGACGTATACCGAGGTACCACTGTATTTCTGAATATTAGGCTATAGATTATTTATCATAATGCTTGTCAACCTGTGCCTTAAAATTTGAAAAAAGTCATGCTCTAGAAAAGCAAAGACCAAATACTTCAAACAGTACTATCGCTGAGTTATAATTTTTAAATACAAATTATAACCTCTTTGGTGTTTTTAAATACTTATTTTTTGTATTGTTATTAATTAATTAAATTGATGCTGATTGTTATGCAATTAAATACAATATTCTGTAAATGGTTTATTACATACTATTACTTTTCAGATAGACTTTGAAGTTCATTTATTTTTTTTATCATCAAACTTACATAATATATATATAGTGTTAGTGTTACAGAGGTAAAATATAAGAGTGTGTCATAAAAAAGTAGGTTGAGAAACATTGATCTTACAAAATGTTACAAGATCTTACAATAAAATCCTATAAAAGACAGTTTAATACACTTTTTCCCTAGAAAACATTGAGACACCTCTACATTTTTAATAACAGCAATGTTTTAACTATAATTTCAATTCATTTTGAAATTTTTTAATTAATTGGTAAGGGAAATTAGGATATTATATTAAAAATTTGAAAATTTATACATCTATTTTTCATATTCTCCAGTATACATTAATATTTCTATATCCAAATATTTCAATAGCTTTCCAATTATTAAATAATGAATATCTGCAATTTTTTCCTCCTAACCATTATATTGTTATATCTTTACATTCTTAAATAAAACTTAATGTGTTTACTTATAATTTTTATTTAAGTTATCTATCTTGTTTCAAGTTATATTTAAATTGTATGAAGAAAGATTATGTACTAAGTTATAAACCAAACAACCATTTCAATGAGACCCACATTTATTAAGTTGATGATATTAGATAAGATGAAAGCAGTGTTCAAAATAAGTAAATAGCTAACTTGTTTAATAGCTCTGCTGTTTGTCCAGTTATTTTTATTATAACTAATGTCTCTTATAATTTTGTAAATTTCAGCAATTATTAAACAACAATAACCAGAAGTTTTCATCTTCATTGACTTTTAAACCACACTGCTAGCAATGCTACCTACATTATGTGATCGGTATTTCTTTCCATTATGCCATTAAAATAATTTCACAAAAATGGTGTCCAAGAACATTTATAACAATATAAATTTTGTAGTAAATAGATCTGTTTTTTATTTTGACATTAAATATTATCATAGATATAATAAAAGTAACATCAGTTTTTGTGTTTAAATATGTTTAATTGTATCAATCAATTTCTATAATGTTTTGTAAATAATGACAATACTGTATTTTTTGACAATAGAATTTTATAATGATGAGTGAAGAAAGAAAGAGAGATGAAAATTTATTTGAAGATGGAGGTCCAGGACAGCTCTATATGTCATTTGTTATTATGGATGATTTGTTAGACAAACTTAAATTATTAAATTATGATAAAGAATTCTGTAGAGAGTTGAAAGTGAAATTTTTAAACAGGTAGACAATTATAAAAATTTTTTTGTATATGTTTGATTTAATATAGAGTAAATTTTTAATATATGATATGTCATCGAAAAGAAAACATGTTGTATTAT